CAGCGCGGTTAGAGTGTGTTCCTCTTCTTGCGAATTCAGCGTGGTTAGAGTTTGTGCATGTTCCTATTCTCGTGATTTCAGTGTGATTAGAGTGTGTTGTGTTCCTCTTCTCGCGATTTCAGTGTGATTGGAGTGTGTTGTGTTCCTCTTCTTGCGATTTTAATGCGGTTAGAGTGTTGTGTTCCTCTTCTTGCGATTTTAATGCGGTTAGAGTGTTGTGTTCCTCTTCTTGCGATTTCAGTGCAATTAGAGTATGTTCCTCCTCTCACGTCACGGCGTGTTTAGAATGTGTTTGGCCTCGACCACCCCTCCTCCTCTCGCGTGAAACGCGTTTGGATTTGCATTTCTTTTATTCGTGTAGAGAACATGCTTTGCATATCTCGTTTTATATCACTCGTGTAGAAAACATGTTTGAATAACATTCTTTATTGCATATGCAAACTATTAGCATGTTGCATTTCATTTGCATTCTACCCCTAAACTACACTGGTTTGATTCCTTGTAAAAGGATATGTATGCAACCCTCGGGTTCAACCAATTGCATTTACATTTTGTTTGTTTGCCCAAGTCTTATGGTCTTGTCAAAAGGGTCGTCTTCGGCTTTGACATTCACTCACGTCATGAAATGATGCATCGAGTTCTATTAAAGAGGGACAATTGTAGATACCCCATTTTGACCGGTTCTAAGACTTATGTGCTCTTTTCCAAACATCAAATGATAAAAGTTAGAATGTGCTATTATTTTAATTTATTAGCAGGAGAGTCGGGTTCAAGTTTTAATCCTAACCTTACACCTATTTTGGCCAAACTATTTTAGACCATTTTAAAATCTTTTCAGTTTTTGTGTGTGTGTGTGTGTGTATGTGTGTGTGTGTGTAGATTCAAACATTTCTACAAAGTTCCATGGCTCGTATTTTCAAAATTCAAGTGTTATATTTTCTTATTAAATTGAGCAAAAACAAAGCAGAAATGAATGGAAGGAATGAGAATTTTCTAGAAAAAATCTTATTTATCCTTTGAAAAAAACTGTCTGGCCAAACTCCTCCAACCCCACTTCTTTTATTTTTTTATTATTATTCATTTAATTATTATTATAATTTTTTCCCCCTCCCCTTTCTTCTTTTTTTTTTTTCATTTGAATTGTTGTAATAATCTTTCAACTCCACATCTTTCTGATCTTTTTATTTAAATGCTTTCAATATAGTATCGTGTTTTATTTATCATATCCATACTTTGCATCCATTTTTCATGCATTGAATTTTGGGTAATTTGCATTTGTGGGTTTCATCAATTCTTATGTGCCTTTGTGCACTAATTCATGCATTGAAATGATTCACATACCATGTACTTAGCAATCGAATCTGTATTTTCATTCTTGTGTATGTAATGCATTAGGTATTTTCATATAGGATCATGCATACATATATAGCATATTTTTTTGGCTTGCCACAGAGGAGTACTAGGTGAACATTTATAGCTTTAGCATTCCGGTTGCGTATGTTATTTTACCATGTTTAACATCTTGCCATGCGACTATGTGCTTAAATGATATACCCCCTTGAATGCAAGTAGATAAAGGTTGTGTTGCTTAGGTTGTAATAATGTTGATTGATATGCATGTGAGCTCAGTTTTCTTTGAGTTGTACATTTATTCAAAAACCTTTCGAAGATGCATAAAATGAGAGCATATCAAAATAAGTAACATGATCTATACTTGCATGCCTCACATAATAATGTTAGCATTATTAAAATAATCAAGACAAAGTAAGCATCATAAATTTATAAACTCATATCATGGCTTAATTAGAGGCTGATTCTTTTGTCGAGTGAATGGGGTTCTCAATTCATGATCTCCCCCCCCCCAACATACTTTAAGGTTCTGATTCGAGGCATCTTTAGTTATGACGAACAGTGGCCTTTGGCATGAGTTTCGAGTTTTTTAATTTTTCCAAAAGATTGGCGACTCTGAGATCAAGTGATATAGTCCATTTTTGGCATATTTTGCAATAAATGGATTTTCTATAAAAATTGCTGGATTTGGACTATTATTTTCTATTTCACATTGCACTAGTGAGAGTAAATCAAGAGATTGGGAGCCTGAACTGTTAGGCGTGCTTGGTAACCCCAAAAGCATCCCACACAAGCCACTTTGATTTTTAAAGTTTTAATTTTGTCAATTTCGTTATTAAAGTTTTTTGTTTGAGTCAACATTATACAACTTTAAACGAATCTATTTAATTTTTCAATGGAATAATAATGACCACACATATGGTCATAAAAATATGAGTTTTGTATCAATTTGGTTCTTAAAATTTTTAATTTTATTGCTTTGGTTCTTAAATGCTAATGAAGAAAACAAAACATAATCTTACAGAATTGAGTGACGAAATTGATAAAATTAAAATTCACAAATCACTAAAAAAAAAAGAAAGGAATAATTTAAAGACTGTTGGTGAGTTTTGCTATTAATATGTTAATGATTTAAATAGTCTTTCGCAATTGAATTAATTGTACTCAAACTAAAAACTTAGAGAAAAAAATTAGACAAAATTAAAATTTAAAAGATGGAAATAATACAAAACATATATTTTAAGACAATAAATATATTTTACTTAGAAAGGTATATTGGCTCTTATTGTGCAAAGCTAATTCCATCTACCATAACTCATTTTGGGTATAGCATAAGTGACGCCATCTCTCTCTCTCTCTCTCTCTCAAGTTATGGAATTTCTCCAACCCCACTCACTTTGGCAAAAGAAAACAAGGAAAAAGAATCTTGAGAGCTTTTAAATACATCAAATGAATAAATAACTTACTCGACAATTTCTATAGTGACAAGTACAGTTGTCATGTTTATTGTATGACCTTTTATATTTATCACTTAATGTGATATCAAAGTTTTAAAAAGTGGTGGTAACCGTTATGTTTCTGAACTGTTTCTTTCGAAAAAATACATTAAAAAAAAAATTAAAAATTGGAGAAGAGGGATAGAGAGAAGGAGCAAGAGATAGAGAGAGAGAGAAAATGGAAGATGAAGAACATGTTATTGATTTGTTGAAGCTGTAAGACCTATGTTATTCTATTCAGTTGCTATCACTCAATCATTTTGTTTATGTGGGTCTATCTATATATTGTTTGAATAATAATAATAATAATAATAATAATAATAATAATAATAATAAGTGTGGTCATTAGCTATTTGGCTTGATTAAAATATGTATATATATATATTTAGGCTTTTATTTATTCTCTTACTTTTGTCATTGTTTATCTTATATATAATAGTTAGTGATTGATTTTTTGTATAATATAAAGTTATTAATTACTAATATAAAATGTAAAAAAACTCAGTTTATAGTGATTTAAAAATATAAAATATATTGGATCATACTTAAAAATTTACAAAAATTGATCAATATTTATTTTAAACCCAATAAATATGATCATGGAAAAAAAATATACATATCGGTAAGTTTTTTTTCAAATTGTGCGAAAAATAAAATACTCAAACTAAAAACTTAGAGAAAAAAATTAGACAAAATTAAAATTTAAAAGATGGAAATAATACAAAACATATATTTTAAGACAATAAATATATTTTACTTAGAAAGGTATATTGGCTCTTATTGTGCAAAGCTAATTCCATCTACCATAACTCATTTTGGGTGTAACATAAGTGACGCCATCTCTCTCTCTCTCTCTTTCTCAAGTTAAGGAATTTCTCAAACCCCACTCACTTTGGCAAAAGAAAACGAGGAAAAAGAATCTTGAGAGCTTTTAAATACATCAAATGAATGAATAACTTACTCGACAATTTCTATTGTGACAAGTGCAGTTGTCATGTTTATTGTATGACCTTTTATATTTATCACTTAATGTGATATCAAAGTTTTAAAAAGTTGTTGTAACCGTTATTGTTCTGAACTACTTCTTTCGAAAAAACATAAAAAAAAAAGCTGAAAATGGGGGAAAAAAAAAAAAAAAAAAAAAAAGTTGAAAATGAGAGAAGAGGGATAGAGAGAAGGAGCAAGAGATAGAAAGAGAGAGAAAATGAAAGATGAAGAACATGTTATTAATTTGTTGAAACTGTAAGATCTATGTTATTCTATTCAGCTGTTGTCACTCAATCATTTTGTTTGTGTGTGTCTATCTATATATTGTTTGAATAATAATAATAATAATAATAATAATAATAATAAGTGTGATCATTATATATTTGACTTGGTTAAAATATATATATATATATATATTTAGGCTCTTATTTATTCTCTTACTTTTGTCATTGTTTATCTTATATATAATAGTTAATGATTGATTTTTTGTATAATATAAGGTCATTAATTATTAATATAAAATGTAAAAAAACTCAATTTATAGTGATTTAAAAATATAAAATATATTGGACCATACTTAAAAATTTACAAAAATTGATCAATATTTATTTTAAACCCAATAAATATAATCATGGAAAAAAATATACATATCGGTAAGTTTTTTTTCAAATTGTGCGAAAAATAAAAAAATTCACGGTTCCGGTTACCACAACCGTTACGCTACGGCCTTTACACCCCGCAACCGTAACCGTGCCACCGCCACCGCCACCGTTACGACGACCGCAACCACTTTTCAGAAGCTTGTGTGATACACTCCATTATTATTGATATACCAGTATCGTGTGGGTGTAAAAAGAAAACCTTCGAATATATTTAAAAACACCCAAAACACTTCCTACATTATAATTACTAACAACCCAAATTGTAAAACCGCATGCGGTTTACTGCAGCAGTATCTTAAAGGGTAATTTTGTCATTTTAACTTCCAGAGTTAGTTAACGTAATCCCAACCACATTCCCTGGGCAGTTGGAACTTTTAGCCCCCTTTTCTCCATCCAACTTCCAAATTTTCAGTAAAACTTATGGGAATACTGACACGAGTGTTGTAAAATAAGCTTAGATTAGTTTTATAGATCTCAACAATTCTCGTTGAGTTGAGAACAAGAAGAGAAAAAAGAGTTAGATTAAAGAAAGAAAGTAATTCCTAAGGAAAAAGATTTTTATGGTCAAGAAAATAAAAATATGGAGGGAACAAAAAGCTCCGATCAGACATTTCCGGCCGCTGATGTAGACAAAGAACTAAATCTTGGCCAGAATAAGAACTTTGAGGTCGATCCGGTATCGTCCCAAGTCGCTGCCTCTATTGAGACTAAGGTACATTTTCGGGTGATTCCATTTTTTTCCCTATATTTCTTTGGGCAACGCAACGTTAAGACTCAAATCCAGATATCTCACTTGATAAAGAAGCATCTCATTCTCCCAAATCAACTTCTTGTTCTCTTATTCAAAGATGCCATAAATTGTAGCTGGTGCATTTTGTGCCCTGGCTAGGAAACAAAGATTTAACTTAAACATGATATAGAAGAAAGAATAAGAGCATTAGATGGTATTTTTTTTTGATTTTTTTTTTTTTGAATTTTTTGAATTTTTTCTTAATCATGAGGGGAATAGAGAAGAGGAAGCAACTTAGTGTGGTGGTGAGACTCGTATACAAATATCACAGTTTGGTAAGAAAGTACCTCGTTCGCTAGATCAATCCATTATTGGTTAATACTTAAAAATAGATGAGTTTTTTTTTTTTTTTTTTTTTTTTTTTTTTTTTTTTGTTATTATTATTCTCTTCTTCTAAATGATAGATTATGCAAATACAATACAAAAATCTAGTTCTGTTTTTTTCTTTCTCTTTGATGGACAAATCGATTTGTGATAGATTAAAGTTTGTGAACTAGTAAAATTTTAGCTACATGTTATGCATCCTTCATTCTTTATCCATTTATTTATACCAACATAGCCATTTTTTTTTCTCACTATGACATTTCCCAATATCATTTTTCTATTTATAGAGAAATTCGGTTTGTTAATAAATGTGCATAATAATTATTTAAAGGATAAATTACAACGGTAGTCCCTATACTTTATCTTATTTCATTTTAGTCCATATATTTTTAATTGGCTCGATTTTTATCTTGAATTTATAATTTTGTTTCAATTTAGTACAATTGATTACAACTCTTAGTATTTTTTATGAAAAATACGCACATAAGTGTCACATGCCATATTTTTAAAGGCAAAGTTATAAACTTACTCAATTCAGTTTGTTACCGTCAACTAATTTAGTGATAATTTTCCTCAAAAAAACACTAACAATATTATTAATTGAACCAAATTTAAACAAAATATAAAATTAAAGATTAAAATTGAACCAATTGAAAATGTAAAGACCAAAAAGACACAATAAATAAAATATAAGAACCACCAATGTAATTTTTCCATAATTAAGTTATTGGACTATCATGATATTGAATATTCCAATTACTGTTTTTGTATTACTACAAGTTCTAGAAAAATAACTAATTGTTTTCCATCTTTCTAGCATTCTACTAATCAAAAGCCACTTTTTGACCAAGCAGTGTATCCTATTATTATTATTATAAGAATATCCACCCTCATATCATATATAAATTACGATATTTATAAGTTTGATTGTTATAAATACCATAACTAAATGATTTTCAATCATAATTAAAAAAAAAAATTAGTCATAGGCCTTGTTTGGCTAAAGGCTATTTGGTTAAAATAGTCAATAAAGATAAAATAAGTTAAAATAATTAATAAGACAATCATAAACCGTTATTGATTTGCTGAACATCACTAACACCACAATAGGTCATAACCATATATCACAAATATCAGAACTGGAATATGGTATGGAGTGTGTAATGTAGAATTTTTCATTCTCCAAAGAGAGAAATTTAATGATAGCTTGGAACAATAAAAAGAGAGAAACATATAATTTTGATATTTGAGATTGTAAAACAAATCAATCTACTCAATTTTGAGTTGCTAAAAGTTTTATTTGAGATCCACTAGTTATATAAATGAGTTAAACTTTCAAAATATTTAAAACTTGTTGATTTTCTAATATTGGGTTGATAAGTTTATATGCATTATGAAAAATAAACTATTCAAATTTGACTCATGTCGACTCAACTAAAATTTATTTGAGATTGGCTTAAAAGGTAAATAAATCAAATTCAAACACATTTTAAAACTATTGAATTTTCAAACAGAATTTAAATAATCGACTCGTATATAGTATTGTGTGTCTCCTCTTTGAATTATAACTATGCATACTCTGGATGTATAATCCATATGCATGTTAATACTTACGATGGAAAGGTAAGAACTTTAAAACAAGAGATGAGCTTTTATATAACCCCTTGCATATATAGAAACACAAAGATGCATGAAAAATTCTATATAACCCCTTGCATATAATGAGCTTTTATATAACCCCTTGGCTAAGAAAACATGAAAAATTCTAAGATGCATGCATTGTATTTATTTAACTAAAGATTTCATTATACAAGTATTCATTTTTCTTGAAGTATTTTGATGATAATGTCAAACAAATGTTTATGTTGAAGGAACAAGCTGAAGCCGCAAAAACTCAGAAAGAAAGGGAGAAGAAGGATGCTCTGCAAACACTCAAATCCACCATAATTATTTCCGGGATCGTTGTGGCTGTGGCTGGGGCTATTTTTGTCATTACAAAGAAATTAAAAGAGAAATGAAGCTTACATTTTACATGGGATATCAATAATCCCAACATTATTTCTTAATTTCCACTTCTCTTCTCTATTTTTATTTTTTGTTTTGATTGTTTTTTCTCTCTTGGTAATTGGCATGTCCATATAGGAGAGGCATTCTAACTTCCCAATTAATTGTTTCTGTGGAAGTATCAAAGCATGAAACTAATGCTATTTTTCTTTGTTAGATGTATTCACCAAGTTTATACACTAAGATCATACAAATTTGGAGGACTTATGTATACATTCTAATAGGTGAATTTATTGTTCAATAAGTCTTATGATAATCAATGGCATTTTTCATCAACCACTATTAAAAAAGTCACTAATTGTTAATTTTCAGTGGCAATTTAAAAATTTTGTCACAAAAATGTCACTAATTATAAATTTTAGTGATAGTTTAAAAAATCATCACAAAAAAAATGTCATTAATTTTCAACTTTCAATGATAATTTGAAAAAATTGTGACAAAAAAAAGTTGTTGATTGTCAAAATTTTAGCGATATGCAAAAAATCGTCATAAAAAATTATTTTCAACAACAATTTTACTAGGACTTGATGAGAATTAAGTCCAACTATTAGGACCTATTAGTAGTTTACCTTAAATTTTTTATTTTTTATAAATTTTTTTATCGAAAATTGTACATTCGATAATAAGTTGTCCAATAAATTACATTAGAGTATAAGATGGATATCAAAAGGGATAAAATAAAGCCTTCATGCAGAAAGAAAAACAATCCTCTATGCACGGTATAAGGTGTTAATTTGGAGTATGAAATCCAAGTGAGCTTGAGCAAATCTCAACTAAGTAGGCTTGTGCAAGTCTTAACCAAGTTGGCCCAAGAAAGTCTCAACCAAATCGGCCTAAGCAAGTCTCAACAAAAAGGAAAGTTCGAGGGAATCGATCATCATATCCTTGGAGAAGTGTCTTGTTTTCAAAGAAGGTGAAACCCTCAGGGAATATCCATTTCTTGAGATAAATGCTTAGACTCAAAAAGGTTAAGATCTCTGGACCCAAAGATCCTCTACGACTTGGACTCGAAAATGTTCATAACTATGAACCCAAAGATCCTCCGAGTTAGCCTATACCCCAAGTCAAGGTGGCATGATCGGGGAGGTTCGTTGGACTTAGCACCATTATTGTGGCAGGATGTCCTATTGGACCACCCCTGACCCATTGGGATGTTGGGGATTCTTGGTTCGGTATGACTAAAAGAGAAGGTTCTCTGAGAAGTTCGCAATGTTCTCAGACCTCTGTCATCTTCGAAGATATTTGAGGAAATGATGAGAGACTTCCTCGGGATGCAACTTCCTCAGATGATTGGTTAGAGAGAACATATTCCCCATGTGATCCCTTGATCACATGGGCTCAACCATGATCAGTTATTACTTCATCGAAGAGTAACTTTGAGGAGCCTATAAATAAGAATCCACCCATAGCCTTGAGAGAATAGTTAGAATTCAATTGGTTTTCTCCATAGTTCATTGTTCTTGAGAGGTGAGATTGGGAATCTAAGGGAGCTATGCCATTTTTCTTTCTCTAGCTTCTTCTTTCACCCAACTATCTATCCATCTCCAATTCCCTTTTTCTTTTTTTCTTTTTTTTTTGGGGGGGGGTGGGGGTGGGTAAATCCATCTCCAATTCCTTGATCAAAGTACTTCCATGAATCATTTTAGCCTCTACTATTCATTTTCATAGGAGTTTGTGGAATTTTCGGTGAATTTGTCTTCTCTGGTGAGTTTTTCGACAATCTCCATTAATTCTGACGATCTATTTCGAACAAACTGCATACACAAGGAAGAAAGCTTCCACGAAAGAAATAAATCTCTACCCAGAGAGACATTATTGCAATGCGTGCGCACACATGTACTAAAAGATAAATCACTACCAAACACCTTCATGTACTAAAAGAAAAATCACTACCAAATACTTCGATAAGAGCATATTCCCCCTTGCAATGCGTGCGCAGACATTATTGCAATGCGTGCGCACACATGTGCGTTGCATTATTCATTTTGCATTTGTAGGTTCATGCATTACCATTTCCTTTATTTTGGCTCACCTCGGATATTGGGGTAAGCATTTATTGCTTTAGCATATTGCATGCGTATGATTGTTGCCATGACAAGCATGCTTTCCATGAGGCTAAGTGCTTAAATGATATACCTATTTGAATTCCTAGGCTAATTGCTTAACTTGGGATAGTGTTATTAATGTACATAGGAGCCCACTTTTTTAAATGGCACTTATTCAAAACAATTTTCAAAAACAAACATGAAATCAAAGTGTTCCAACTTTTACAAATTAGTCTATACTTGTGTACATCGCCTAGTAAAAATAGCCTAATAAATCACAACAAGAGCATATAATGTACATAAGAATCACATCATGATTAGTAGAAGCCGATCTTTGATCAGGTGAATAGAGTGCTCAATTCATGACCTTCCCCTCTCATACCTAAGTTCCTAAGCCAAGACACTTTGGTGATGACGGATAAGTGACCTTTGGCACGAGTCTCAAGTTTCCTAAATTTTTCAAAAACATTTAGGTAACGACTTTGAAATCTGATAATGCAGTCAATTTTTGGCATGTTAATTCAAAATCGATTTTCCAAAAGATTTGCCGAATTTGAACTCATTAGTGTTTATCTATTTCACATTGCATTTGTGAAATCAGATTCAGAACTATGAGAGTCTGAACTGTAGGGCTAATCGAATCCAAAAGAAGCACGGAAAGTAAGCTAGACAATCCCACATTGATTGTAGAGGAAAACTTTAATGGGTATTTGAACATCAAGATTTTGATAAGGGCATAAGCCCTTTAGGGCATCCAAATTTTCCGAATGAAAGGAGTTATGGATGTTTCAAGGATGGGCTTGGACCAAAACTATGGTCCAAGTTGGTTACGCAAAAATTGCCACACACGCAGGTGCACGCGCGCGCTGCCCGCCTGAGTTGGGCTGGGTTCAGGTCGGTGGATTGTGGGCTTGAGGCTTAAGGCCTGGGCTTGGGCGGTTTAGTGGTCCACCAACCTAATGGCTGGAGGCTCCTCCTCTCTCCCATATGGTGTATAAATAGATACTAACCTCCTAGGTTATAGACACAGATTTTTTGCTTCTAGAATATATATAATCAGTTTGCTTCTGCCTATAATTTTTCTTCCTGTGTGAGTGTGTTGCAATTGTTGGTTTGCCAAAGCCATCAGAAGGTGCTTCTGCATTAGTCGATCTAAACCTTCGTATCCTAGGAGACAGAAGCCGACATACCTATAGCACCCACGGTGAGGTGGGTAATCTGTTTTAAGGAGACTATGATATCACACAGGCTTTGGTTTGTGCTTTCTTTAACATTTTATTGTTTTTCGTATTTCTATGCAATATCATTGTAAATTCCAGCATATTTTCTTAGTATGTAATTTAAGTTGATTAATCATGAATTTATTTATTTTAATTCACTACGTTAATTTGTACAACAATCTTAAAATAGATTACATATTTTCTATCAAATTGACCAAATAGATTCGTGTATGATTTCAATTACTTTTGGTTTTTATTTACCGAACCACCTATAGCAATTTTGATAGCCCACATCCTAGTGACTCTTGGAATATTATATATATGCATGCTACTGATTTCCCAACCACCGAAACCATTATTTTATATGTATGCAAACTTCATATTTCGAGATTCAATTGATTTATTCGAATAGGCTACTGTTTTAATTTATTTAAATTTATATATATTGTGTACCATCAAAACAAATTCTTGAATTGTACGAGCACGAAATAATCTTCTCGTATAATCCTGTTGATCAAGTCTGCGCTCCTCCAAACATTGTCGCTTTACTCCCTAAAAACACAAACGTGAGCTAGCCGCCGGGTATGTGCCGGATACCTCTTCGATGCCTAAGTCAGCAAAATAGGCAAATAGAAAAAAGCTCTGTGTATTCGGGAATCAAAGTTGTGTTACCTCTACATAGGTTATGTTGTGAGCTTTTATAGGTTCCACATAGCACAATCCTAGTAGGACTCTTATTCCTCCAAGTAGAGTCCTCCTAGGAATCACACTCCTAAAAAATAATGCTTATCTTTCAACACCTCCCTCACTGCTTAAACCAAGTGAGATAGTTTTACCACGGTTGGATGATAGTATGACCGAGCTAACACTAGCCCTTTGTCATACTTAATCCACTGTCTTCGCATGCAACACATAACTTGGCTCTCTTTTCACTTGTACCTCAGTTTTGGCCTGCTGAGACCGAACTAACTATACCAAGTTTCGCCCGAGCTAACAAGATCAAGGTCTTCCGCAGGACGCCCAAATACCTCATCTCTGAATACCATGACCGAGCTAATCACCACGCCGACCGTGGTGACTGTAACCACATTTGGACCGAGCTAATTACAAGGTCCTCTTTACTTAGCCCTTTTTACCTCGGCCCATAGAATGGCCCATTACCACACCTTGGCCTAGCTTGGCCCTAATGCACATAAAAAACTCCCTCTCAGTTGCCCCTTAATTCCATCTGCGTAGCATGATTGGGATTACCTATCACCAACCGAGCAAAAACTTCAGACTTTCAACTGAGCCAAGTTATTACTACGCTACTGATTGGTTCGGTCAAAAAACGTCTTTTCAGTCGCTGTAAAACTGAATCGCTTTCTCTTCTATGGATACGTGGCCAGCCCCCATTGGTGAAGTACAACTATCACCGCCGTCTTCACACTCCGAAAAATTTGAATGCCTTGAACCAACTACTTCTACTATTCATCTTCTCTCTCTCTTTTGCTTGAGCCTCCATTTTTGTAACCTCAGTACCTGCGAAGCTTGCGTTCTTATCACCATCTTCGTGGTTTCAGATCTGCATCCTTCCATCTTCAATTCGTAAGTAGCTCAATCCTCTATTTCTTTCCATTCATTTTGCATTGTACTATAATACATAGGATAATATACATGTTTTGCAAAAACACTTTCTTGCAGTTTCCATGGGAAATAACCACTTAGTAAAACCATTAGATTCACGAACAATCTGAGAAATGACGCTTTAGATCCAAAATAATACTCCAACCGAACTAGGATCTTGTTTGTATTAGCTGCAAGCCTAGCCAAACTGGATAACTCTTCTAACAACCGGACTAAAACTTCATGCCATACCTATAGTTGTAATCAGTTTAAGAACCTTCTGTATCATTTAGCCGGGCTAGCGAACTGTATTAGGTTTGC